TATATATATATATATGTATATATATATGTATATATATATGTATATATATATGTATATATATGTGGGATATTCAGAAGATTAGAGCTTGACTCAACTATGGCGGTTACCCCGCTAGAGAAGGTATCTAGAGAGGTAAACTGCGGGAATATATAGGTCGGCACCGAATCTAACGTTCTGTCAGTTGAACCCAGGTACTCCCAGGACATAATATTCACCACGGTTTTGGGTCTAATATCCAAGTAATTCGTGTGCCTGATCACACTAAATAATCAAGTAGTTTACTACATCAAAACACCAGTTAAATGATTTGTTTTGGATGGTAAAGGAACATAAAAAATGTTCGAAAGGAGACGACTTTCTTTGAGACAAATTTGTAGGAAAGTTATTATTGCTGTTACTGAAACTACTTGGATATATACTACGCTTAATGTTCTTCTAAAAATGAATAAAATATTGTTATGTGAGCGAGTAGTGCAAAACGCAAGAGTAACATGATGGTTTTATTATTATTATTATTATTATTATTATTATTATTATTATTATTATTATTATTATTATTATACAGTGTATTTCTATATTTGGAACAAAGGATGTGATATCATAATAAACTGATTCTGAAGTATTCGGATGTACTGTGTTCGGATAACTGTGGAGTACACTCACCAGTTAGCATCATCGGCCGAGAAATGCGCGCAGCAGCCACTGTGGATCGCTGGAGACGGGTGCAGCGGTACAACCCGTTCCCGCGCGAGCTAGGTCACGGGCTGCCTGTGCCCGCTGCGTGCGTGTCTCCTCCCCTCCCTTCCCCTCCTCTTCTCCTTCCAACTTCTCTCCGCGCCGACGACCTCGCAATGCCACTCCACGCGTCGCGACGTCTCGACGCGCGACCTACGAGTTGTCCCCCGCCTCCGCTCTCGCGACTTTCGGCTGTCTTCAGGCCCCTTCGCGCTCCCCATAACGTTTTCCTCGTTCCCAATCATTGTTCGTTTTCAGGCTTTTAAATGCGTTTCTTTCCTCGTTACTTGGACGCTGTTTTGTAATTAACACCATTCTCTCAGCTGTATGTCGGCAGGTTGGGAAAATCCTGAAGAGTAGTAATGATTTTCAAATTAACTCCTGGGAATTGCGCGTAATTTCCTTTGTAATTCATTTTTAGTGTGCGTCTTTACATTTTATATTTATCTGAACCATAAAAGCAAATGTATGCAGGCGGTGATGGGCGAGGTGGCTAGAGCGTGTGCAGTCTCAGCGCCTCGGTCGGAAGGGTCGCGGGTTCGAGTCCCGCTGTAGGCATGGTTGTTTGTCCCTTGTCATTCATGTGTGTGTGTGTTGTTGCGGAAGGCCTTGCTAGTGTATAAGGAACGTGGTGGGTACGCGGCCCGGATAGTCGAAATTGACATACCCTGCAGCTTAAACTAGCCCAGGAAAGGAAAAAAAAAGAGGGAAAGTAAACAAATGTATATGTTGCTTTCATTCTATTAAATGCTTCGTTCCTACGTAATACGTCATATCGTTGTTTGGTGTTTTTGTACTAAATTTGTGCTATTTACATCTCTAAAAATGATTTTGAAAGATGCACAACAGCAAGATGAACAATTACAATACGTAACCATTAAACACTGATTTTAGAGTTGCTTTCAGACAGAGTTTGTTTTAATAATTTGAATGAAAAAGCAATACATTAGGCATAATTCAAATGTATTGCCAAATATATATTATTATTTCCAAATGATGCAATGAAATCCTAATTATTTTAATGGAATTACTGAAATTTGCTACTACATTTGTAAGAGTATAATAGAAGTTTGAAAAAACAAGAAAGTAGAATGAGTTTTTGTGGTTGTTTCTCGACGCACCATTTTGATGACATTCTTTAATACACAGCTGTTACAAGGTGACACAAGTAACAATGTAATACAAATAAGTAAAACGCTACTCTGAACCCAAGGAATCAAAGTAGTCTTAGAATGAAATCTCTTAAATTTGTAAAAAGTTTTGTAGGATTGCAGGAATTTGAATACGTCATTGTTGGAAGAAAAAATAACCATTGAATAAATGTACAAAATAAATATTGAAAAATCTTGGAGACAGCTTTTTGACTAGCTTTCTGAAGTAAATAGAAGAGGAAATATGTAATTAAGGATATTCAGTTTTTAAAAATAGTTCTTGATACGTACTTGCCCGTCGGCTTTTTGCGACTCGTTCACTTCATTTAATGCCACCCTAATTACAACTACTCCAGATTCTCTCGGCGTCTAGACGTGACTGGCTTTGTTATCATCATACCGCGTTCGTTCCCCTGTGATCCCAATGCTGCAAGGTTTTAAGTAGTTATTTTGAAACTCGGGTGCATCCTGCTTTCAGGTTTCAGATTGCAGGTTTATATATACACTGAATCCGGCCTCCCATCTTCGAAACAGGTTCGAACCAACAGCAATTTGTTGGATGCGGAGACAAGTTGGCAGTAACTACTTCTTATGTACAGAGCTAGCTCGTTTACAGGATACCTAAATCTTTCCCTCCTTGTCTGGTACTTCTTTCTTGTCCTTGTATGTTTTACGCGTGTATTTCTTGTCTTCGCTGCTTTTCTCGTTCTCCTTCTCTCTCTCTCTCTCTCTCTCTCTCTCTCTCTCTCTCTCTCTCTCTGTTTCTATTCGCACCCTTTCTTTTTTTGTTTCCCATTTTCCTCTTTTGTTACATCTTTGGCGCCTTTTTTCTCTCTCTTTTTTTCTTTTGCCGCAGCAGGTAAAAATAATGTAGTACTTAAAGAAAACATTGCAACTAAACATTGCTCAAAAACTGGTAGCAGAAGTATACTACAACGCTTCCTTGAAAACTAGAACACAGTCCTTTTTATAGAAGAAGAATAAAGCGTGAAGTATATTCTTTGTAAGAGTTCTAAAATAGATTTTCTAGCGTTTTAAAGTGGTTTTCAAAAAGATCTATTTTGCATCTTTTCGTAATAAATTATTATTCGCTCTATAATATTTAGTTATTTTAGAAGAAAGGAATACTAACCTGAAAACAAACTTGGAAGTTTTGGAAATTACACTTCTTAGAAGGTATATTTTGCGTAAGACCATCTTGTAATTGAAATTATATTTCTGATCATTCCTTTCGCTTAAAATGCTTTACTGATCATATAAATGTGTGATAATTTTGTGTTAGTCTCCCTGCATCAGCCCACCATATCCAAGTGCCCTCCCCGTCAATATCCAAGTGGCACAGTCCTTTTCTTTGCCACTGTACTGTTATCTACAACATTCAGCAACAACAGTTTCCTTATGTTGCACAACGTCATAAATTTGCATATCTTCTCCGAATTTGGACGAACAAACAGAAGAAACAGAAGCCAGTGCGAGTGCGTTCATTACTCTGGGGTTTCGAGACACCCGTTAGATGTCGCCTCAAATGAAGTCGGGTCGTTCGTTGTCTGCGTTCCTCTGACCCCCTCCCGTGTGCGCCGATGTCAGTTGCAGAGATTGATGATGAGTCTGTTGCAGCAGAGGCTACGGCACGCTTTGAATGTGCATGACCGTTACGGCGTGTCTTTATGAACGCACCTTCATGCTCGTGTCATACTTTTGCTGTGATTGAGGTGGCAGATGACCTCCTACCGTGTCGTGTCACTGCATAATCAAATGATTCCATTATCTGACAATGCAGGTAAGAAGTATTTAACTGCAATTGAATAAAACTCCGTTGTAATTTTCGAAAAAATATCAATATATTAGTAGTAGTAATGAAGTATGAATGTTTTTGACATTTTAGGGTCGGATTAATTCAACATTTGCCAGCTACACGTGTTCCCAAGACTGGGCCCCTTTTTTATTTCGTGTCCACATTCATTTATTATCTATTTTTTAAGAGAAGCAAGTGGCGGGCATTGCATATTTCCTTCACCGTATCTAGCATGCTTGGCCTGCCTGACGGTTTCTTTCGTCACACAGCAACAGAAACTGAGACAATT